TGAGGGGGAGATTAGAAAGGAGAGACGCAGTGGTTAGACCCGCTCGCTGGATAGGGGTATAGGGGATAGGAACAAGAACAACCACCTGTGTGCACGCGTGCGTGTGTTGTCAAATGATGCTTGAGCAGAAAGGACTTGCCGCACTCGTCGCAACTGTACGGGCGTTCCTTCTTGATGGTGGCGTCCGTCTAGAACGGGGAGAGAGAGGCGTGTTGCAGATGGATTACTTTTGATTGGCAGACGGCGTTCTCTAGGAGGCGAGTCCCGAGTCCCGTGGATTTGAATTTGGCATGTTTGTTCGATTGGGATCGAGTGGGATGTGGTATATGTATGGTGGATATTGTTGGCTTACTTCGCTGAAATGCATTGATTCCTGTAGTTCGGTCTTTGGGGACAACTCTAATGTGCCTGGCTCCAACTTTAAGTTGGGTGCGTCGCCCTGCGAGTCCTCGTTCTCTTCGAGTCCTTGTATTACTTTCTGGACTTGAACTGAAATACCAGGAAGTATGTCACCTAAGAGTGTTGTTGCGCCGCCAACGGAACAGAAACCAAATGGAATTCAAGAGGAAGAGACAAAAAATACAGAAGAGAAGAAACAAACGAAAATCAAAGTACGAACCAAACGGAAGCAAACTTAAATCAATTATAAATTAAAAAAAAAAACAAACCAACAAAAATGCAATCGCAAATTAAATCGTTAAATATTTTCACGTAAAATAACGTAAACAACGTAACGTAACGTAAAGCAACCGGAACATGGGGGGGAAGGAATAAAGCAACCAGAACCGAGAATATGCCAATGCCAGGTGCGGGAACTGCGGGATTACATCAATCGGGTAGGTGGTGGTAGTGTGTGGTAGTAGTGGCAGTGGTGCTAGTGGCGGCAGTGGTGTGCATCGCACAAGTACAGGAAGCACGAGGATCGGTATAGGTATCGGTATTGGTATCGGGAACACGATCAGTGGGGTGGGTGATTCAGTAGGAGGTACAGTTTAGGGGAGCAGGAGCGGGAAGAGTTTGGTAATCAACAATCACAGATTTGAGATGCTTACTTGGTGTCGCGCCAGACGCCGAGCTATGATGATGCGATCCGTCGGCAGCGGTGATTGTGTGCGTCTGATGGTGGCCGGCAGCGATGGCGCGCTTAATAAGGATCTCGTTGCACTCCTCTTGGGTGAGGTGCAGCGCCCCGATCGACCCAAAGTGCGACTTGGCCGCCGCTGAGCCCGCCGTCAGCACTGTCTGTCCGGTCTTGGCATCAACAATACTACCGTTGGTCAATGTGTGGTGGTGGGCAACCGAGGGATCACCGGCCGCCGCGGCTGCAGCTGCTGCTGCAGTTGCCTGATCGACCAAGAGATCTGTGTTGTTCATGTGTTCGTTCAGACCGCGCCCGCCGCCCACCAGGAGATGAGGTGTGATGTGGTGTGTAGTGTAGTGTGGTGCGGTGCGGTGTGATGCAATCAGTTAATGATGTTATGTGATGGATGATGTGGTGCGGGTGAGGGTGGTGGTGCAATAGCAATTACAAGTAACACGCACACACACACACAGCGCAGCGCAGCGAACATAGGCAGTGGTGGGGTTGGGGGGAGATGATGGGTTCGGGTTCGGTTACGGGTTGGTTCAAGAGCGAGCGAGATCGAGCGAGAATAAAAAAAACGGGAGTAGAGAGAAAAACAATCGATTAACAAAAACCCCAAATAGATCGTATAATCACAACAGCAACGCGTGCAACACTGATAGATGCATCCGGCAGATGCATTTATCGCTCCGACCACTTACAGTTCTTGTCCAGGCTCAGCACCTGCTGCTGCGAGTCCTGTTTCTTGACTACCGACGAGCCGCCCCCAGTGGTTATTACTCTGTAAATGGAACGAAATAGATAGAGAAGTGGAAGGAAGAGTGGGAGCAAACCGAGAAGAGTGCTTAGTTGGTTGCTTTCTTTTTTCGGCTGGCTGGTGGAATAATTATTCTGTTGATAGATTCTGAACGCACCTCTGTGTACCGGGCGGAAACGAAGGATCGTTCACAACGTACATGCGACGCACAACATTCCCCTTATTGCCGCTGAGGGCACCTTTGACATCCTTTTGTACGGCCAATGATCCATCCGTGGACAGCAGATAGGGCATCTGGAAAGGGTTTTTGTGGCTTGAGATTGCTTGATTGTAGATTGATAATGGATGGATGGGTGGGGTGTGTTCTTTCCGCATCTCCAACCGGTTATATCTGGACATGTTAGTTTTTTATTGGATATTGTGGATCTGTGTCCCCAAGAGCCGAACAAAGAACAGGAATGCAATTCTTCCGATTGGGCCTAATGGGGAGTGGGGTTTTTGTTTAGTTAAGAGGATAGAGTTCAGCTAGAGATTAGTACAGGTACAGTTGCCCCTCGCTATGGTTAGTGGTAGTAGTTAGAGATTGGGCTGCAAATTGTGGCTTCTTCTCTGCTTGTTGTTTTTGTTGTTGTTATTGTTGTTTGATGTTCATTCGTCTGGCTCTGATTGATAACCACGTCGCTACACCTGCGCAGGCAGGCAGCGGTGCGGCAACAGATGATAAAGAGTAGTACGAGACACGCTGGATGAGGAGGGGAGGAGAAGGAGGGTTTAGAGAGAGAGAGGTCGGCAAAATGCGCGCCTTTTTTCACACTCTCTATCTCTCTCTTTTTCTCTCGCACAATTGGAAAAGTAATCAAAACACACGCGTGAACACAAAACACAAAACGCACACCAGAACACGTCATTTCTGGCATTGGTGTTGGCTGGGCTGCAAACACACAAACTCACACACACATATATGTACGCATACATACGAATGCGTGTGTATTTAGCGAGCGGCGAATTCGAGGCTGACGCACACTAGAGAAGAAAACGTCCGCAAATGCGGCGAACTGGTGCTTGTTTGAGGGAGGGGGAGGGAGGGTTGCACTCCAGGGTTTACTTCTGGCGGCCCAATGGACAATTGTGTAACGAAAATTGTTGCTTACCAAAATGAAACCAAAAAACGAACAAACAACACAAAACAACAGAGAAACCATAAGAATAATTATAATTTAAATAGAACTCAAGCGGTAGTGGTGGGGGGGTTAACGATACATAATAATCAGAATCAAAGGAAATACAAATTATCGATTCCATCGATTGCTTTTGCCAGCCAGACTGCCACACGAGTGTTCGACCCCGCCAAACCCATTATTAATGGGAATTTTAATTATTAAGCGTCACTGCATTTCCCACTGGCCCTACTCTACTCTCCTCCCTCTTCACCCCTTCCCAACGTGCACAGGTGCGTGCTTTCTCTGGTTTTTTGCATACACAACTATACATATACGCACACGGCTTACAAATACCAAATTATGAATGTTTACGAATGAAATGGAAACGAATACGATTCGTATAAATGTATGGTAAAAGAATTCTAACACAGCGCCGATTCCCTCGCATGACAACGCAGTTACATAAAGCGTACGAGTATATGTATCTACGTGCGTATGTATGTCTCTTGTCGTTTCTTTTTGTATTCCCGTATACATACACGCCGTTGCCGAAAGCAGCGAGTGTGAGTGAACGAGTGTACTGTATATATGCACGCCTCGCTTGCCTGCAAGTATGTACGTCCGTATGTATGTATGTATGGCTGTACGTATTGCCAGAGTATATGTGGCGCTTGCTTTCTTGTTGTTGGGAGCCCAACACGATTCGCTGTAGGAAAGCAACACTGTTACGTGGGCGATGGCACGGCCAGGGGGTGGTGGCTGCGACTGGTCGAATTGGCTATTTAGTTTAGTTAGCAGCCTGCACTAGCAAAAGCACTCGATTATCGGCATGGGCAGGGGGGGTCTGGGGCAGTAGCAACTACTGCAGCAACTAATTTATGTATAGATACAGGAGCTAGGAGCTGGAGCTAGTGCTCCATACACTTACCGATTCCCCACTGACGGTGTAGTTTATGTTGGGCGATATCTCCAGAACCGATTCGGCGGTACGGCTGCCGTTGTCTGCGAAGCCCCAGGTATAGCCGAAGGGCGGCTGTGGGTTCTGGGCGGCGCACATTGTAAATGGAGCAAGTGAGGCAGATAGAGAAGAGTGGGAAGTGATGGTATGGTGGAGGGAGGGAGGCGAAAGAGAAAAAAGCGCAAAATTTCCAAACGCAAATGTAATTGCACTTCTCTGTGGCTGGTATTATATGTGGGTATTAAATCACGTACACAATACTAGCCTCCTCTAGTAGTAGTAAGTGGAAACGAACGGTAATATGGATGGTAATGGTGTGTTGGTATTGTGCAGAACAACACACTATTTAATTATTTTTCACTTGGATCGCACTGCGACGAAAATTCGTCGTCGACGACGAGACGAGACGAGTACGGCGGCGACGAACTATACACCGAAAAGAAAGTCAAGTTGGTTTGCTTCTGTGGCTGCGGGCGCCATTTTTTTCCCTGCCTGGGAACAAATTCACTTCGGTGGCGTTCGTTTGGTCCAGGGCGCTGGGGCTCAGGCTGCGACTCGGTTCATTGATAAGGCGCCGCACTTCAATGTGTGTGTTGGTGTGTTGTGTGGACGCGTGCTGATGTGCAGTTTTTGCAATTAAATTTATAAACAAAATACACACTCTGTTTTTTCCTCCAATATTATTTCACAGACTTCACAGACACAGCGCACACACCACTAAACATTTTTTTCTTAGTGTTCGTGTCGTGCTTCTCGTTCTTTGACGCCATCTTGAACACCGAAACTATCGAGTGGCGTGCGCACAAAACTATCGGCCAGCCATCGATATCAGATATCACATAAAATATGTTTTTTTTTCTATTATATTAGTAATTATAAAAATATATAGATTTATTCCATATGCATATATTAGTGTACTATATATGGTAAATGGTGGTATTCCACCCGACTTCAGTCCAACTGTGAGGTTGGTGAGACCAGATATAAAAACATTATGGGAATAACAGGCAGTGCGAGCGAGAGCCTTAGTTTCGGTATTTTTTCTGTGACGGTATATCGATAGGTTCGCGGTCACAACATAACACATTTTCCATTTCATTTGTTAAAAATTTGAATTAAACACAAATAATTGAGGATGTCCCTGTCGCCGGCTAGTGGCATCGGCCGCTTCTACAAGCACTCGGCCAAGATCATACGCTTCGTGCGTCTGGGCTGCACGAACCGGCCGTTCTACCACATCGTCGTCATGGAGGTATGTTGGAGGTTGTCCCAGGGATGTTGTAACAGTTGCTATAATAGCAGTGCCCAATTGTGCCCCACAGCGCCGCAAGAACCAGCACCAGCCTGTGATCGAGCAGGTCGGCTCCTACGATCCCCTGCCCAACGACTTTAACGAGCGCCTGGTGGCCCTCAACACGGAGCGCATCCGCTTCTGGCTCGGAAAGGGGGCCCACATCTCCGACCCGGCTGCAGAGCTGCTGGGCGTCGCCGGTCTGCTGCCCATCCACCCACGCACTTACATGACTGCCTGGCGGAACCGTCGGAAGCTGGCCGAAGAGCAGGCGGAGGCAGCAGCAGCAGCGGGCCAGGCGGAGTCTGCTTCGGCATCCGTATGAGCGCCGATAGATCAATAATAAAATCCTGTTTTCGATTTATGTATAACAAGCGAGATTTCTTCTTGATTAGCTGCGTTTGCGGCAGACACAAATGGAGGCTTCAACAACAAACGGATAGAAATTTAAAATTTATTGAAAAACATAACCAATACGACGTGACCAAACTCTAATTGCGTGCTGTCTAATAGAATCCTGCGTGGAGGCGGGAGTACCAAATGCATGGAGAGTGGCCGGCCGGCAGACCTTGTATGCCCTAATCATGCTTCAGCACATTGGTGGCCTTCTTCACGCCATCGTCAATTAGCTTGTCGACGGCTGCAATCGAATGGAAGGATACATTAGATATGGTTAAGGGAGTAGATTAGTTGATAAGACACTCACATTGGTGATGCTTCAGGAAGTAGGGTCGCACCAGCTTGTGGTAGATAATAGTGGAGCCATTCTGCTCCGTGGGCAGCATGCACCAGATGAGGAAAGCACACTGAAACAGACGAGAAATTAGTTCAATCTTAATGCCATACCGCCATGCGGGGGCTTACCTTCAGCAGCCAGTAGAAGGGTATGATGTGGGTCAGGACGCCCGAGAAGAACTCGATCACCGTGAAGATGCCGAAGGTGACCCAGTAGATGAGCCACTTTGTGTCATCCTGCTTGGTGCTGGACTCGATCGCATGGATCGAGACGTAGGCCGGATACAGCACTCCAATAATGTTGCACAACAGCTGTGCCCCATAGCCGAAGATTAGATAGATGGCGCAGAAGGCGGCGGCACCTGAAAGAGTTTAAAGGAATACCAGTTAGAAAGTGTACAGAAAAGACTCCAGGGGCTGTACCAAAGCGTAGCAGGGCATTCTCTTTAAACAGCTCAATCACTCTACTCTCCAAGTTCTCAACTGCCATGATCACCGTCTCGATGGTCACTGGTTTGTGGCCCATTGTGGCAACATGGCCCTTTGGCTGTGGCACAGCATCACACAGGGGTGTTTTTTGTGTGTGCACGGGTCTGCTTGATTTGATCCCTCTTGATTTGGCGCCCTAATTGATGCCCCCACTCCGCCCCAGGGCTGCGAGAGGCTAATTATAACTATTTAGCTGTTGTCACAAGTGTCATCTGCAGATATTTGCACCCGATGCCCGATGGTGGCCCGATCCCGGCCAGTCTCGCCTTGCCAGCACAGAATAGCACAACGGACTCGCCGTGGATCGCTCTAGCCACCGCATAATGATGTCATGCCCAACCGCCGATGAGTATTCCGCTAATTATATTTATGGGCGTTTTATTGTTAAGTTCAAAGGTGTTCGGAGATGGGTGGCAGCCGGAGGAATGGTGTGGACTCACCTGAGCCAATGTAGATAACGGGAAGCCGGACATTTCTTCGCACCGATTGGCGGTGTTTTATTTGCATAATATAATCCCAGAGCCACATCTGGGGCTTTCGCGAGCTTCGCTGAGGGAAGCTCTCACGCACACAGAGGCACGCGCTCACCTGCCAGCCAGCGATTTTCTACACGTGTGCAAAGCGCCACGACGGCAGAGGAGAGCAGGTCCGGAGCAAAGTCGAAGCAGAGTCTGACCTTTTGGCCTGACTGCAATCTGGGTATCTGATCTCGGTACAGTGCTCTCCACGGGTAATCAATGATTGCTCAGCAGACGGATAAAACATACTCTCGATAGAGTAAACAAAGAAAAGCACAACCCACAAAAACTTTTCATGGAAGCTACCACACACACACACACACACACGCACTGCATACGTAAGCATGGACACACATATGCATGTTGAGATTGGACCTGGTGTGCGTGCTGTACTCGCCTCAGAGACCCGACCCCCAGAGATAGACCTTTTAATTACACTTAAACGGTGCAGCAGCAGTTGCGTTGCTAAGCTGACGATAGTGATTAATCCCCAAATTAGGCACCTTCCCCTGTCCCTGTCCCTGCCCCTGCCATGCGACAAATGCCATGTCACATCACCTCGTTGACCATGCTATATATAACAGGTTGCTATTTATACATTTTTGTCCGCAAATTCTACTGCATCTTGGACAATTTGGAGTGGCGCACCCGTTACGTGTTTGGCTCTCCTCCTGCGTAGCTGGGGGCGATGACGTCGTCCAGGATAAGATCTTAAACTTACCGAAAAATACATGAACGCGGTCAACGCCAGTTTTTTCTTCCACGATGTCTAGCACCTTGGCCCAGGGCTTGGAAGTGTCGCGCAGGGATTTAGTCACCGTCTGCTTGTATCCTTCGAACCATTGTTGAACTTGAGTATATTGAACGGCCATTTTTCACTAGGTTTTGGTTGAAAGTCGAAGCTAAAAATCCTTACGCCGACTTGTTTTTATTAGGGATGATATATTTTGATATGTCAGTATATCGATATATATTTTTGTTGATGATATATTCGTAGGTGATAGTTTTATAGGATCGAAAAATAGATTTGAGGTATCGGTAGTTTTGTGCGATAGGCGGAACATATCGGCGTTTTATTTAAAAAATAGCAAAACACAAACTTTTTATCGTAGTATCACTTGTGGGGAGCGTAACTCTCGCGGAGAGCGATCAGTTCATCAAAGAATAGTAGCACCAAAGTAGAATAAGGTGCACTGCGTAAATAAATGGGCCAGAATCCCTTGAATAAGCCGTAAATACCCTCTGATCGCAGGATCTTGGTAACACAGTCCAGACAACCATTGTAGTATAGACCCCGACCCTGGGAATCCACCCCCTGGTTGTAGAGCCGAGTGGTAATCACGTCAAACGGTGTGACCGCCACCGAAACAAACGATCCGGCAGCCAGACCGGAGAAGAATGAGAGGCACGTGGGCTGCGTGACAAGGCCGTTGTCTTTCAGCAGGCACTTGGCCTTGCCAAAGGTGGCGATCTGGACACTGGAGGCGACTGTGGCCCTGCTCACGGAGGCCATGGAGCCGCGCCACAGCCCAAGAAAGCCGCTCTTCCTGTATATCTGTCTTATCGCATCACTCATTGAAGTGTGCGGATGCTGATAACCGACGGCAATTTGCTTGGCCGCCTGCGCCTGAAGTTGTGTCTTGATCTGAAATAGCATGGGAAAGTTCTTATCAGCGGCTAATCTTATCTGGCTAATAATCGTCTGCCAAGGCAGACACCTCAGAGTCTGTCTCCCAAACGATTTGATTTACATAATTGCTTACCAGGAAGAAGGGGCTGGCGCAGTAGGAGCCCACAACGCCGCCAAGTGCGCCCCAGAACATGCCACGTGCAAACGAGATCTCGCCCTTCTTGTTGTGTACCCAACCCTTATCCACGGCTTGAGTGTAGGTGCTCAATCTGTCAATGGAGAAGACGATTAACTATGGAATGCCATGCCTAAAGAAGTCTACTGACCTGATGGAATTTATGATGAACTGGAAGCAGAGCGCTGGTGCCAGACCCTTCTGCAAGCCGAGTATTCCGTCGTTCTTGGCCACCGTGACGAACGCCTGCAGGACATTCTTGTAGGGTTGGGCGTGAGAGCCGCGCGCCGCCAACTCTCCCTGCAGCTGCATGCGAGTTTTGACCACCTCGACGGGGTTCGTGACTATTCCAGCTCCCATGGCGGCCACTCCGCCCAGCACGAAATCCGATGTAGCCATTCTTATACCGTTAGATTGACAGTGACCCTACTCTTTCCCGCACGGAGGAATACTATAACGTTTTTTTTCCCGATGAGAGAACTATCTCGATGGCCGCTATATCGTTATCGTGGTAGCTGCAGAGACAGACAAAAGGAGCTTGCTATGGGGACAGAGCAGGGGAATAAAATATATTATAACAAAAATTCGAATATAACAAAATGAAACGGTTTATTAACCAACGTATTGCACAATTACCAACTAAAGGTACAGGATTAGCATACTGAAGGCACATTTATAGTTCTTTGGCTACGCTAAGCATAGGAGATTGGATCTGGGAACGAACTCTGGTCGCTACGAACTAAGGCAAAACAAAAATCTCAAACAAGTGAACAAATTTGTACTTAAAGTAGACAATTAGACCATCCCACCACGGTAGTTTCAGTAGTGCAGGTCGTACTTTTCGCGCATGACGATCAGTTCGTCAAAGAAGAGCAGGACGAGAGTGGAGTGCGGGGCAATCCGCAGATAGTTGGCCCAGAAGCCCTTGTACATACCGTGTACACCCTCGGATCGCAGGATCTTCACGCAGCAGTCCAGCCAACCCTTGTAGAGCAGGCCGCGGCCCTGCATATCAACCCCCTGATTGTACAGACGCGTGGTGATCACGTCCGGTGGTGTGATAGCCACCGACATGATGGAGCCGGCGATCAGTCCTGCACAAAAGGAGTTGCACGTGGGCTGCGTAACAAGGTCGTGCTCGATGAGCAATGCTTTGGTCTTGCCGAAGGTAGCTATCTGGGCCCCGGATCCCAGAGCGGCCCTAGGAAGAGCGGCCACAGATCCGCGCCACAAGCCAGGGATTCCGTTCTTAATGTAGATCTTGCGCAAGGCATCGATCATGGAGGTGTGTGTATGCTGATACCCGACGGCGATTAGTTTGGCAGCCTGCGACTGTTGCTGAGTCTTGACCTGTAATGGAAGATGAACGCTATCAGTGGGAGGTTCTCTCTTATCGCTTGTATGGGCACGTGGTCCCCCAATGATAAGCTGTTTATATATCGTGATTTATATAACAGTCTGTCAGGGTCTCACCAAAAAGAACGGACTGGAGCAGTATGAGCCCACCACTCCTCCGATGGCACCCCACATTAGGCCGAGGCCGTAGGAGACCTCTCCATTCTTGTTGTGCATCCATCGCTTCTCCACCGCCGCAGAGTAAATGCTTAACCTGTTGGAAATGGGCACAGATGAAATAGTTGTCTGCTTGCATGGAAGAAACTCCCGTCGCACCGGAAAGAATTAATGATGAACTGGAACAAGAGGGCAGGAGCCAAGCCCTTCTGCAAACCGGCCATGCCATCGTTCTTTGCAACCGTCACGAAAGCCTGAACAATTCCTTTATAGGGCTCCACATAGGAGCCTCGTGCCGCCAGCTCTCCCTGCAGCTGGATTCGCGTCTTGATGACTTCTATGGGATTTGTGAAGAACGTAGCACCCACCGAGGCCAATCCGCCCAGCACGAAATTCGAAGTAGCCATAATATTATTATCATATATTATCACAAGCTGAATCCACAAAACTCGCTGTTGACTAGAAAATTATTGCGACGCATGGAACTTTTTCGGCACGACTGCCTATCACACATATCACGATGCTACGATGCCTGGCGATGTTTCCGGTTGTTTCATAATTTCACGGGGAGACTATAGAGCACGAACCGGTCTACTTGAAGCGCATCGCAATGTCCGGATTTCAAGAAGATAATGTAATTAAAATAAATGATAGACGTAACCCCCAAACCGATTGGTAAACATTAAGGTTAATCGAGTTCCGTAGCAGTCAGCAATCAGTTGACCCCAACCAATTGTTTTACCGAAAATCTTATTATTGACTAAAATAAACAAAAGAACAAAACAATAATAAAATAGTCGGATAAATTTACAAAATGAATGTAACAAAGTATACAATTTTTTTAGGTACGAAATTTATTTTTAATTGGTATTATTCGGTATATTTCTGAGGGGCGATATATTCCATCGGTATATCTTATCGATATACTGCCTATAATTTAATCGATACACAATCTAATAAATAATAATAATAAAAACAAGGTCGCTTGGTTCTAGCTTCTAGCTGGGCACAGAGGAAAATATAGAGCACACCCAGCACGCAGGACGTGCCAACATGTTGGGCAGAGGCTGCTTTGCGACGCTTTGGCAACCGCCTTTGGTGACGCTGTTGGTGGTGATATTCCTCGCAGCTCCTGGCCTATGCTACAAAAATTGTAAGTTAGTCATAACTTAAAGGCGCAGTAGCATGATCAAGAAGTTGCGTTCCCTTTCAGTGCGCCTCCAGGACAATCTGTGTTCGGACAAACTGATTTTCACACTCGCCAAACCGTTTCGCGGCGACCCCACGGTGAGGCTCGATTTCGAGGAAGATTCGGCGGCGATTCTAACACAGACTTGGAATCTCACATTGCCCTATGGCCACTCTGCCAACAAGATCAAATACGACTGCCAGTTTCGCGTGGCGACCAGCGACCGTCCGCCGCGCGGCATTTATACAATCATCACTAGGCTCAAGTTCCGGCGGGATCCAGTATCGAAAGAGTGCATCGACTACATCCAGTTTACCAGAGGCAATCGCTCGCCCAGCGAACGCATCTGTCACGATATCTCCATCAACGGCCCGGCTGGGCGGCTGATCTTTGATCAGCGGGATCGTGAAGTGAACGTCCAGATCTTCATCGACAGATCGCGTCACATTCTTGGCGATCAGCTGGAGCTGGGTATGGTGCTGACGGCCCACTCCGAGTGCCAGTTCAACGGCGACTTCCTGTGCAATCCCAACGACCAATACTCGTGCATATCGCGTCACTTTGTGCGTGACAATGTCACCAACTGTTTGTATCCGTGCCGTGATGAGGGAACGTGCTTCCACGACGCCATCGTGCCGGAGGAGATGGACACAGCCAACGTGGCGCTCTCGGCCATAACGTCGCTGATTTTCACCATGCTCGGCGTGGGCTTCTGCGTGTGGATCTGCTGGAAGTACTGGAACTGCATCACGGTGCAGCAACGGGCGCACGAGGCCTCCGCTGCTCGCTTCAACCAGCGACGCGTTCGGGTGAGTAGAGTGTTTTCGGAGCATACCATGGAGCCACAACTAGAAGATTCTCTCATTGATAGTCTGATGTGCCCACCATTGAGTTGCCAACAGCGCCAGATTACGCTGATGTTGGACCACGCGAGCAGGATGACCAGCAGCAACCGCCAATGACGCCCAAGGATATGCCACCCAGCTACGAGTCGTTGTTCCCCGACAGATAAAGCCCCGTGGCAGGTTGTTCCCATTGCTCCGCTTTGTGCCAGATCAACAAGTATTTTGGCATCGCGCACCTTGTTGTACTCGTAATACATACTCCTATTAGGTAAATGTCTCTCCTCGTAAACAAATGTGCATTCCATGTAAATAAGTTAGGACTGATTTTAAGTTTTCTGATTAGCAGTTTTGACGGGAATGAATACTAAAATACTCCCCGAGAATACTCCCCACTTTTACTACTGTACATATTTAAATTTTATGTTTTATTTTTTGCTGTGAAACCGTTGCATCTGCCTTTTGGTGAAGCAAATCGATCAATGTCTCAATGCCTTAGCCTACACGTTGAGAACCCGAAACCTTAAGTACTCACTGATGAAATCTCACAGAAATTATAATGTTAAATGAAATTGTATCAATTATTTACCTAAGCAACCATTATCCTTAAGCAAAAAATGTACCCAAAATGTACTCGTCTCTGCACTAGTTAGCGTAAATCTTGTAAACGCCAGCCATCGCCAGGAACCAACCATCCTACAAACTATGCGCTGGATGGGATTGGTACCTGCGAGAGGATGGTAGCGTCGGCATTCCACATAGTTGTACCTGTTTCTGTATTGCATAGATGATATTATGTATGTATGTATGTATGCTACGCGCTTTTGTAGAGATCTTTGTTATGTGTCTGTGTACTGTGCTGGCGGTGTACAATTGTCAATTGTTAACCAGAATCTCCCCTATATAAGCGCCACGCCCAGCACACACCTACGCACACAAGTATATGTACGTGTACTCCAATATGTCGCAGCAGAAGAGAGTTCGCGGTCAGTAGCTCCTAAGCCAATACTCGTATGTATACACAACAGAGTCGAGTACAGAAACTCACTCGAATACGTATTACCGATAAATAAACCAACTAAATCTCAACCAAACCAAAACGTTGCGAAAGCACGCCTGGGATCTACCTCACCCTCCATGGGGGTTTTATCACATGGTGACACACATCGTGAATCAGCACGTGCCTTATCCGAAAAACCAGTCGCTCTCCCCCTGATTGCTGTTGACAACCAACTATTTGCATCCACAAAATCGAGAGTCGGTCACGATTGGTAGAGGAAAGTTGTGGTCGCAGCCACTGCGTCATCGATCGATGGTCTAATCTGCCCATCGATTTGTGGCACCCCGTCCCTCACTTCGTGGGAGTTTCTCATCATAGCGGAGATCGGGCAGAGATGTGGCACGTGTTGGGGTCACTTGTTCGTTGACTCCCCGCAATTGACCAAGCGAAACTGGTTATGGCCACATCACACACAATCACCATCTAATGTACATTTTGTGCCCTCGTTCAATGTCAATGCCGCCGGCAATTGTCCAATTGTCGCCTTGGAGGAGCCGAAGTGAGCGAATCAATTAGCGACTGTGCGGCTCCCTAGGCAACTGGTAACCGGTAGCTGGTCTACACGGATCGACAAAGCCATGCCTATCTGTATATAACGCTCTAGTGCCAATTTTAACGCAGACACTCGCACAATGGGAGACGACGATCTATCATCAAGTTCAGGGCCACAAGCGATTCCCAATCAATGATTTGGACGCAATCTGCACTTTGCGTCAACGAGCGTCTACCATCTAATGGCTGATAAGGCTCATCCATCAACCAGAGTCAAGCACCTCTTTTAAACCCAGAAACTACGATCATCTTCTTGCTGATGTTTAGGGGCTGCGAAATCGCGAAATCGCGAAATTCATCTGAGAATTAGCGCCTCCGTTTAACGATCACGCCCAGAAATAACCCAGAAATAATGTATGGATGATTTGATCCACTTTGCAGAGGAGCTGCCTCTGAGGAGGTTTTTTTATAACCAACCACAAAGACGGGAGTATCGGCTTGGATACATATAATAAAACAGTTATTTATATATATGTACATATATAAAATGCACACTTCTGTACATAAATGCTGAAGACACCAGTAGGCGGGAGAAGCGTAAAAAAGCGAATCGTTTTCCCAACAGAACCAGGTCCAGCCTGTCACCAGTTTTGCGGTGTCGACAATTGCTTGTTATACCCTGGCAGAGGGCAGCATGATTTGTTACCTATCAAATATAAAACTCGACAATACATAAGAAAATAGCAACCATTAAGATCAAATAGAAAAATCAAAAGAATAAAGAAGTTCTTTAAGAAAACTTTACAAAACATTACCCCAAGCAGCACACCATACAGTGTTACGTAAATCAGCAAAAGTTATTCCAAATAAGACCATAATATCACATACAACTCATAGATATAAGAGTATCTATGGCTGAGCTCTATTTCTTTCTCAATATTCTAACTTTAACCAACTGGGCAGGCCAACAATTAGATACGATGCGCTAACTACTCTTATGTGGGGAGGCACAGATTGTTGAAATTACTTTCGCGTCGAGCCGAGAGCGAGAAGACTAACGAAGCCGTCGAGAGCGCGTGATTCATGCGCCCGGGGATGGGGGCCAGACAAAGACCCCCAGAGTAACGGCTCCAGCTCCAGTGCCAGCTAAAAGTTGTGGGCAAAGCGAACGCTCGCTCAGTCTGCGATACAAACTTGAACCTGAAAGATCGATTCGACTACGGGCACATCGAATACAGAGAGTGAGCCCGCGTACGCGTTCAGGCCCCAGTCCCTCCCCATTAAGCCATTCCCAAGCCGGTGAATTCTCAGTGAAGTGAACGATTTATGGAAATATATTGATTGCAGCTCAACGCAATTGAATTAAATAAAACTCAACAAGTGTGTGAATCGAAAATAAACATTGTCCATTCAGAAATATACGTACATATATATACGTGCACCGGTATTCTACCTGAACAACATCGCCATGGAATATCACCGACCAGCAGATGCCCAGACAATGCTGCTTATTATGATAGGTGAGGCTCAGATGATGCGTCCTCAATAATTGGCTGGACTGGGTTTACGATTGGATATATGACATAGAAATAGTGAACTATGAGGCGTGAATGATCGAAAGTTTGTTTCTTCTTCGTTCCCAGTATGTCTGCACAAGGAAATTTTCAACGAGCCCTCTGGGTCTGGGCAGGCCTTCCTTGAGTGCGAGATATGCAAACAATGAAAAACTCTCAGACAACAAGCATATGCTAATTAGGCGATCATGAACTTCCATGTGTCCTCCCTTTGATTGGAAGTAATTATATATATACTATAAATATATGTATGTATACATCACGCAACTTAATCACACCAATGAGGTTGGCTGGAAAGGTATGCTTAATTGGTATCTAATAAGCCATGCATGCAGTTCTGATATCTGTATACCTACTCTTTGTTGGATTAAAATTCTATATGCAGTTCGATTGTGATGAAAATGGACTGACCAAAGAGTTTTATTTGGCAATTTTAATACTGGCATCAGTCCACTTTAACTGGAGCCACATGTGGGTGTACTTTAAGCGAATCTGAATAGTTATATTAGCCTTAAATGACTGTTTGAGCAACTGCCAGCGTCATGGTGGATGTCTACAGACATCATAAACCTTTTAACGATGTCTTTACGGGGCCCGTTAGACGCTTATCCCGCCAGATAAGATCTCTCTCTCTCTCTCTCTATCTCTCTCTCCCAGTCCACTGACATGTGATCAGATCATAAATATCATTAAAACGAATTCAAGTCAAAGTCAAAGTTTCGCCTGTTGGGTGACATTTCGAGTTGCATTTTCCCCGCAAATCAACGATCGAAACCGGTTCTTTTCAAGTCCCAAATGTCAAGTCGTTCAGGGAACTGCTATTTATACCTAAGAGTTTGTACGGCCAAAATTTGGCTTGAGATCAAGGGTGACTGGAGTACGACGATTGTTTCTGATCGGAAACGCACAGCTGACTGTGGAGTTTGCACAGGTGCCACCGCACAAATCGAAGAGCTGACGTTGACGCCAGCACGTTTTCCATTAGAAGCTAATTAGAATTTAATTGCTAATACTCGTAATTTGCTTTTGTTTTTTGCATTTGCTTTTGCTACTATGATGTTGTTTTTCTACAACCACTAGAAAGTGGCTGTGTTCCCTGACATTTGTACATACATACATACGTGGGAATGTGTGTGTGTGTCTGTTTAGCTGTCGCCTTATCAGTGTGGCAAAAAAAAGCAACCCACACAATTCCAGAAGACAGCAACCATTAACTGACGATACTTCTAGGCATCTGCAGTGCGTAGAATATATGTATATATATATATATAGATTTATGACGCGAAAAGCTCTAATCAAGATCTAGTTGGATGCTGGAACTGGATCAGGGTTGAGTGGAACATACAGATGAAAGCAGTTGGGTAAATCTTAAGATAAATCTTCATACTTAACAAGTATGGGTAGTATCATCATCACATCATTAATATAGCTGGTAGTTTCCCGTAACGTCGGCACTCTAGTCGTTAAATGATAACTGGGAAAACCTTTCCCTCAATGTGGCGACTGGTAACACAGCACGTGGCAGCGGGGAACAATGTATCTGCCAGCCCCGCAATCAGTTGCGTAATTCTCGGAGAGAATTAATAGGTGTATTTAAGGTATATTGTGGGTGCTTTCATCTGCACGTGGCTGTCACCTCTCAGCCTCTCAGCCTAGGTCAACAAATTTTATTGTATGCTGGAAATTTCATCAGATTCGTTGTGAAATTGATAGGAGAGCCCAATCGGAGAGAACGATATCATTTTATTGGTACTTAATGATGATGGTGTGCTGGTGTGCCGTGTGCTGCAATGCCTCCGCTCCCCATTCGATGGCGAAGTGTGCAAACAGTTGTCAAGTCATTGACAGGGAACGCAGCTTTTTATGGGAATTGGGACGGGGGGGGCTTAACTTGTGTGTCTGTGGTTTATGATGTTTGTGTTTTTCCTGCGTTTGTGAATCAAAATATTTTGCAACGAAACTATCCGAGTGGCTAAGCATGCACCTACCCCACTAGGCACTGATACTAAAGAGAGAGAGATAGAGATATAAATAGAGCAGATAGAGGAAGCCCAGACACTGGGTCGACACTGGCTCGCACTCTTATCGTCAAGTGGCTAAGACCGTAAACATAGCCGGTAATTGGGCCTGCTTAATAAACGATCCATTTACGGGGGTAACGCCCCGCTCTATAGCTCTATATATAGACTAGAGGAGCGCCCTTATCAGCAGCGGATGACAAAGAAGATGATGGAGGTTTGTCTGAAGGAAGCACGGCACCTCTGCATAAGCAGGAATAGCAGGAACAGATAGCTTATCTATGATCGCTACCTGTGAGCTCATGTCTCGATTTGCCGATATCATTTTGCTAACATTTCGATTCGTTTTGGTTATGTTTCAGTTATCATCGCCTGCTTGTCGAAAGCGGACGGACAGTCCTATCTGATCGCCCTGGAGAACGTTCTCAACGAGTCCAGCCAGCCCCAGCCCCAGCCCCAGCCACAGCCGCCATACAACTTGACTACTGCGAACAGCACAACGGATGTGGATCCGTTTGCCAACAGCACTCGCATAATTGTCTACAAAAACAGTGAGTAGTTCGACCAATCCACTCCTCAGCAAGATTCGAGAAGGTTTCGTAGTTGCTTACCACATGGCGAATTGCCACGACATAGAATTTTATAACAGGGTTACTTTATGCCACACTTAAAACCCACTTGGAACGTGTAATCATTGCCTAATTACGGTGTTCGTCTGGGGGATAACGCCAGCCCGTACAGAGCACCCATTAACGTTAACGTGGTTCAATGACGTGCCATTTCGTCATAAAGCTTAGGACGCAAAAACCCAATTCGATAGCTGGTTCAGACAGCCAGATAACCTAATGTGAGATAAATATGTAGTTAACTTTTGGGTATAATTGGGTCTGCTCTGTAATATGCCATTGATACTCGTATATACATATGAACATCGATTATTTAGCTTGGCAAATTCTAATTTCTCACCTATCTCACTCTCTCTTTTTGCAGCTGTCGTGGAGCCCTCAAACGAATTGTCACAAACGGCCATGGATGTGATCACGATCGTGTGGTATGTGGCCACCTTTTTGGCCCTCGCGGCCTTCTTCATGCTGATGGCCTGCTCGGATCGCAGATGTCGCAACATGAGGCGCCACCATTCAGGAGCTGCAGCTCAGAGCGATGGCATAAGAGCGCCGCCCACTCCCTCACCGTCGTACAGCGAGTTTGCCCCGCCCAGCTACGATACGGTGATCAAGATGCAGCATGCGGCCAAGACCAGTGTCTTTGTGATACCCTTCAACAAGGCCAGCGAACCGACATCTCCAACTTCGCCGCCTGTCACGTGCAATATTTATACAGTCAATGAGCTGCAGAAATCGGGGAATTAAAAGATAAGACCGACCCCGAGCGACGGTTGACTGTGAGAACTCCGCCTCTGTGATATTTGCTGTGACCCCCCAGACGAGTGTGGTGCAGCGGAAGATGTGTATATGTTTGTGGCATAGCCTAGTGTACCTAAAAATAGGACAAGTATTAGATGTAAGATCCTGCAGAAGACTGACAACGAAAGATATCCACGTATGCAAATGTAATTTCCATAAGAAATGCCAGTTCAACTGAAACTAGATGACTAAGCAATCAAATAAAATAAATTAACAAATTATTAAGTAACACAGAACTAATGACTCATCTGAGGCTATTTTATGACTGTTCTAAGAACTCCGTCTAACAGTCAATTTGTGGGAATTCCTGGGGGCATTCCGTTTTGGGGATGGGTGAGTGGGCAGGGGGTCGTCACGTGGCGGGACGGGAATTCTCAGAAGATCCACAAGATTTTACAAATACAGTTTGTTTAATATTGGTCCGTTAATCTGGAAGATGGACAGCCTTGCCACATCATTGAAAATCGACCAAAGCTGCAAAGTTTCTAAGCTTTCCAAAAGCTCGTTTAAGCTTTATAGTAATGTAAAAACTACATGTAGTAAGCATGTAGAAACGCGTACTTTAAATTGAAAATTAATTCATTTATTGGGATTATGTTTAGTGCTGAGAGTCCTAGCTAGCAAGTAAATACTAGACCAAATTTTTTAAAATGGAGGAATATCGTATCCAATCATGAACAAAAAATAATGATTAGTGATAATAATGATTCTGCTTAATAGACGACCAAGACATTCAAAGAACTGACCAACACCAGCCAGACTCCATCCCAGATGGCATAACCGGCAGTTGAAGTTCACGGCCAGGAAGTCCTCATCCAGGCCAATGAACATGGTAATGGGCAGCATCGGTATCCGCCGATTGCCACCAACAGAGCTGCTGGAATCAGCTTCAAGCTGGCGAACCGAACCGCCTTATCAGTTTCGAGAGAATTTGCTGTTGATTTAAAAACACAAATATTAGTTGGAACTTTCGAGAATCTTTATCAACAGGCGGATGATCACTTGCTGTAGATATAAAATGAATTCTGAATATTCAGATACATATGCATGTGTATACCTATAGATTGTACCTATAGATGGTTTGTTTAGTCACTGAAGGTGGTTCCCTCTGTGAAAATATGAACCCCTTTAGCCTTCCGCGTAGTTACGTCAAACAATGATTACCATTCGTTGATGTTAATTGTATTCTGTATTCCCCTTCAAGCAGGTCTATGCAGTAAAGTTTCCTCTGGTTCCTTTAGTACTCCGTCGTACACCTCTCATTCCATTCCAGGGTCGGGTGATGATAGTTCATTCATTCATAGATATTCCCTTCGAGTGCTGCCGATCTTTCGGCAATTGTTTAGATCTTATGAAGGTAACATCTGGTTTCACGCCCAATATTTTCTGGGGCATTATACACATAGAAGCACACACCACACACACACACGCATGGCGTATGCGTAATATTTCATTTTGGTTTGTTTACATATTTTGCATACAATACAAAAATGTATGTATCTCTCCCTCAAAATTGTTTTCGAAAATGTTATACAAACAAAGCAGATAGACAGACGGCGCCCCGTATGGGGGAGGTATGGAAGAGGGAGAGAGAGAGAGAGAGAGAGAGAGAGCGAGAGAGGGGGGAGAGTATGCCAAACCAGATTAAATTGCAGTAAAATCATGTTACGCCCCGTTCGATGCGGTTCATCTGATGTTGTGCCCGCTGATCAGCGTTGATTGCTGCGGCCTGCTGCTGCTGGCGATCGAGTTGAACGATTCTTTGCGGGATCTGGAGTCGGGAAGCAAGAATCTGGAGTCCCATTCATTAAGTCGCATCTGGATAGCTGCAGAGCGAGATGTGAGAGGGACGGGACCACCCAAATGGAGCACTTGTAGTCTCTCAAGCTCTGAGCTCTGATCTCTGAATTGCTGTCACTCCTCTGCTGCTCTGCTGCTCTGGTGCTCTGGTGCTCTGGAGATCGTGGTTCGCGTCTGTTGATTGTGCAAAAAGCTTCGCAGTCGCTCGCCCTCTTTCTCTCTCTCTCACTGCTTCTGTGTGCTTCTCTCTTTCTCTCTGTGAGCAAGTGCTTTTCATTGAAAAGACTCTGCAGCGTAAGTAGCTTCGATTAGTGCGACGCGAGCAGTGCCATCGAGTGGAAGTACATAGAGATTATCCGCGAGAAACCGATACGTTCCAATTCGATCCGCTACCCACAGTGCTACCCGCAGAATAGAATAGAACAGAACCGATCATGTCGATAAGAAAGAGCTTGTTTGGCTGCCTGACGGTGGCTCTACTAATGGTGACGATGCTCCACTCCGTCCGGGCGGACATCGAGACAAACGAAGTGAACGATCAAGATGTGTACAGTAAGTGTGAGACCCGGGGATACCCTCTGTCCAGATTGTCCAGAGCTAATTCTCCTAATACTCCTCTCTAGTGCTGCAGGGAGTGCGGGTGTATCCGAATGACCGCCAGTGCGTGCTGGTTGGAGGACTGTGCGTGAAGACCAGCGACTGTACGGAACCCACCAACAACAAGGGCCTGTGCCCCACCAGCGTACACCACGGCGTGGAGTGCTGCTACGAACGTGAGTACAAAGTGCCCAACCTCCACGCTATGATGCATCTGCTTAACTCCCCTCCCGCACCCATAAAAACACCCTGTCATCAGTTCGACCCAAACCCGAGTCTAGTCCAAATTCAAACAAATAACGATTCATGATTCTACCACACCAAAAATTCGATCCGTAATTGGTATTACTTGCTGTGTCCATCCCTCGCCACTAACCCCATACATTCTGTGTCACAACCACCACCCCCCACCCTCAACCGCCCTCAAACCATCCCGTTGCCCGTTGCAGTGCCGGTCCGACCAGCGCCCTGTGCGGAACACCTGGGAATGTGCATGGATCGATGCCACCAGAGGCTCCTGAGACCTGGTACCGATTGCGTTAATGGACAAGTTTGCTGTGTTTTGATTTAGTTATAATACACTTACACACACACACACACATATACACTTCTACACACCCACACAAACACACACACACACACCAGACACACTTACATATAACATGTATTTATTTAACTATATATTAATTATGTTGTACGATCCACATCACCCCGACAAGAGTGAAATATTTGACTGCTTCCAATAAATGCATTGTAAATATTTTCAAAACAATTCTCTACTCAATCACGCACAAACACGCACTGACCGCCACGCACATGATGCGAGAATTATGTAAGTATGGGTCCGAATCCATATCTGGATTTGTGTATGTCGTCGTTCTCCGAACTCCATGGCCTGAGCCCCGCTCAGCTGACAGCTCCTCCTTATCGGTGGCAGAGCTGCACCGTCACGTGCCCCACAATGTACTCGTACAGTTGTGTGGGCAAAAGAAGAGCACCACAAAAATAGAAGCCAAAACCCGAAAAATGTTGCCATCTGCGGATCTACGGATTGAACAGCTCAAAACAGAGCTTATCTCCTGCGGAGAGTAGAGATCAATCTCTGGGTGTTTTCCCTGCCGACTGTTTCAATGTCAAGTTCATAGCTGACAAGAATTTCAGATCTCTGGTAGTGAAACGCTTCGATTATAATAATTATTTATATATTTCGTGATATTTTTGGTCGATCGCACAGTTCCAAGAAGTTATAAACAAAAATAAACGACCTTGCGCCCCGCACATCGAGCAGATACTATATCTTCCATTGGAACGAATGGACACGGGCACGAGGTCCATTTGGTTGGATATATTTATTATTGTTTTGCTCACTCAGTTATGCATGATTTCATTGCTAATGTTTGGATGCCTATTCCATAGAGTTATTTATAGTTGGAGCCCGCTTCGGTCCGCACGCGGCCAGTACGGTTTGGCCAGTGTTCTTGAGTTGAATGAATTCGTATGCAAGGCGGCATTGAGACATTTGGATGGATACACACGCTATATGGCTGGCTGGTGCTATGTTAGCTTTTCTATTTGCATGGAAAGATGTAGTTTAATGGTTGCTCCCTGGCTGGCTATGAGGTCAATGCGATTCGATTCGAAAGAGTTTAGAAAGAGTACAGACTATGCCTGGATCTTTATTGATATCTGAGGGGTAAGACAACACACATTCCAGTTCTATCTTCTAAGGGTAGATATAGTTCGAATGGGCTCATTTGAAGACTTTCATCCGAGTGGTTTGAGGTAAGTCTAACTTAAAACCCCTCCTAATGGGATAGAAGCTAAAAGTATATATGTATGTACTTTAAACACTGCAACATAAGACTCATTGTCAACATTTGTCAGAGTGCATTGCATCATCGTCGCCACTTGGTTTCATTGTCACTGCCACATCGCAATTCCCTAATTCCATCAATGCCAATGCCAGTGAAAACTCGTTCGTGGCCTTGTCCGGGAACACTATGAATGATCTATATATAACAACGCACACTAGCACGGGCATGTGAAAGTATAGCAGTATGCATTCCCGACGTAGTATACTAGAGGCAATTGAGTTGAGAGTCCCGGATCCGAGAATTCTACTGCGTCTTAGAATTGCATAACATTTGCTCCGTTTGGGGGCGAAAACTACTTCGAGGTACCTACTACACACTATGATGAACCCGCGATGAACTCGAGCCCTAACCGAACAGAGCTTGAGCGAAGTGCGAAACTTCAGTAATACTTTCCGTTCAGTATTGTTTTTAGGTAGCTCTGGCTCTGGCTCTGGCTATGGGGCCAGCCCGCCTGCCTGTCATGTTCGCATTGGGACGGGCGACTTATCAGGGCACCTCATCATCGTGTATGTCATATAATAAATTATTTATGTGGTGGGGTTTTTTTTTTGTGTTTCTGTTTTCGGTTTCGTTTTTGCTATGGCGTCGAGTAATCCCCGTTTTTTGCTTTTATTTGTTTCGCATTTGCATCAAAGCGAAAACTAATAAAAGTTTGGCTGCAATGATATGTGGTGGGTGGTTGTGGAGGAGATGATCTCATATTTCATGTCATAGTTCGCACTCAGTTTTCACTTGACATAAAACTGCGTTGCGTCTGGAGGGCCTCGGGGCCGATGCAACGCAATTTGCATCTCCATTCCGACCATCCCTTCGCTGTTCACTCTGGATTTTTTATATTTTTCACGTTTGTATACCCTTTCAAAGGGTTTTGAGTGGAACCAATAAATACAGTCCTATGTGTCTGCCGTTTTGCTATGCTAACTGGTCCCTTGGTGAGGTCCGTGTGAGGGTATCTTGTGCATCGACTATAAGCTCTAGGATTCGAGTCTTGTTTAATTTTTTTTTATTTTCGCATGTGGCATGTCTGGGATGTCTGGGAGGGGAGTGCGAGCGCTGAGTGCTGAGAGCGGGTGTGTGGCGTATAAAAGAAAATGATTTTGTGGCATAAATTAACGCCAAGAGGCACACGAAACACTATTAAAAAATACGGATCCACCACATGCCGCACAAGAGCACACATGCCATCCTGGCTGACTGCCTTCCTGGCTTGTTCCTGGCCAAAGGATGCGGCAAGTCAATGGCTTATAGGATATGCACTTGGTGGCCGTGTGCACTGCTCTCTGTCATGGGGGCAGGAGTCGAGTGTGGCATGTGGGAAGAGCTGATGCCGCCAGCTCCGTGTACAGCTCCTCATGCAATTAATCCTTTTTTACGTTCTCTCTCTCTCTCTTCTCCGGGCCTCCTCTCCATCTTTATCTTCAGCTCATCCTTTTCCTGGAAAATGACTTTTTAAGTTAATTTCTTATATGCTCACCCTCTCTGCCACCCGCTCATACAATGTTTGCAAGAGGGGCGTGATGCACCATCCCCACAGATTGATGGCCATTCCTCAGCTGCATCTTGAAATTCAACTTCTGCTTGAATTTCCATCCATTGGACGACATTCGACCAGAAATTCAGCAAAGCCATCTAAACATGGTAGCATTTATTCTTGATGGCTCTGACCGGATGTGTCCCCCTCACCACTCCTACCTCACTGTTAGCCATCAATTTCAATTATTTGGGTGGCTTTTTTTGTGGGGCTCTTCAGACCATTTTTTTCGGCAGGATCAACAAGTTTCTGGGGCGTGCTATTTGCTGCCAAATATTTGGGCAAGTTAAACCCGACTTAATGGTCCGCACAATGTCAACAGAATGTGACAATATAGTATAGCAGGAGTACACTCTACAGTGCGTTTCGAAAGCGTAATTTATTCTGCTGAGATTCTGCCGATATTATTTCATATATGAGAAATATACATAAGTAAGTCACGACATTTCTCTGCGGGTTCTCGGGCTAGTTTTTCCATTTTTCCCATAATTGTTTTAAATATTATAAAGCGCACTGTACTCGAGCTATGGCTCTCTGTATGGCCTCTTAACAATGTTTCAATGAATTTGAAATTTTGATGCAAATTGATGTGCAAATGGCATAAAATTAAATTACTCAAAATCCTTTGACAAATACAGGTATGAGGGGAAGGCCCAGCCCCATTCTGGGACCCCTTTCCTCTTGGATAATACCATTAGAAGCAAGAAAGTGAACGTGAAAATGAAAACGTTACCATGAGAGGTGGGGGTGGTCGGGCGCTGTCAAGGTGTTTGTAAATGTCGTTCCACCTTTTGATGTGCACGTTGCCATGTCGAACCGGAACAATTACATCATATTCATGCGTAGAATTACCTTTCCAGGCTGTCCTTTGGAGTTCCCCCACAATTGGCAAGCAATTTCGGTTGTTTTGTAGCCACACCAAAGTGCTCGCCCTCGGGGCACATCTGCCTCGTGAAGTATTCCTTTTTTTTTCTGTCTTCTAACGGGATTAACCGCAATTTCTTTAATTAAAATTTCCATTACCACTCCCTTTCGGAAAGTCGTCTCTAAGCTGGCTGTTGTCTGGCTAGCAAAAGAAAAAGGATTGTAAATTGCGTCGTCAGTCAGTTCTTGACTGTGAGTCCTTGCTCAGAGTGCCCGTTCCCGAGTCATTCATCCGTCTGCCAACAACAATTAAAATGGGAAGCAACAGCAACAAATTAAAAATTCATCTTCCGCATATCCCATGATTTCTTTGCCACACTTGCAACCCTTTGCATCTCCCGGCATCTTCCTGTTTCTGGCATCATTTTTTAGGTATTCCTGATGTGGTCCTTGGTCCTTTTTTTTCTAATTTGATTGGCGCTTCCTGGTACCCCGTTTCCGGTTATTTCTTTATCTTTCACCTTCCGCTTGGCTCCTTGATTAGCTGCCATCAGGGGATGGCGTGGGATGGGGGTTCTCTAGGGGGTGGGCGTGGATAATTATTTTTTTTATTTTTGGCTATTTGCTGAGGCTTTTTCCCATGTAACCCTTGCCCCGATTCTCACCCTGCTTATTTCGAAGGTTGCATCTTAATTGAAACCTAATTTTGTTTAGGGTTTTCTTCACTTTTACATCATATTATATCCAGTACTTTCTTATATTCAAGGGTATATTCTGTTTATGTTAATTGATATAAAATTACTATATATAAACAAATATATACATACATCCATTAAAAATCATCGAGATCGGATACAATTGAAGATAATTTCTCGGAAGTTCTTTAATCTATTTGTAACACAATAAAAGAGGGTGACTCAAATAGTTTTTAATCCGAGGATATTTTACAGCAGTAAGTATAACCTTCGTTCTTATTTTATATCTTTTTTTTTCTCAGGAATAGGACAGGAACAGCCTCAGGAAAGAGAAGTTTTTTTTCCCCAAATTATCCAAATGATGGGCAGACACAGATAATATCATATAATATCGTATATATCCTCCCTCCTGCCATCATATCCGCTAACCACACTCACCCACAGAGCCACTCTCATCGTTTGAAACATTTTCTACTGACATGGCGGTGGGGGAGCTGGTGCGATGGGTCCTGCAACTTTTTGGCTTTTGTTGTGTGCAAATAATTTGCAGCTCGTTCTTTGGCGTCATTAACAATGTAGAGGAGGAGAGTGGGTGGAGAGTGGATGGGGGGTAAGGAAGTAGAAGAAACTTTTATCTAATTAATGAAACTTCAACGCAACGTCAAGCAGTCAGATCTCCTTGCTTTTGAAGAACGCCCCTTTAGCAGCACCCCACCTCCTGTGATGTCGTATTGTTGACAGTGACGATATGGTTCCAGAGGGAAGGGGAGAGGCTACAGTGGGCCCAGGGTGGGTGAAATCAGCG